AATTTTGTTTACATCCGGCTTGTGTAGAAGTATTATTATTGTAAACAAATGTAAATCAAACAGTTGTTTGATGGTTCCTTGAGAGACTCGGCTGAGTCAGGATTCTCAAGAAGACTTTGGTTGCGGTCATCATAGATGAAATTATGGTAGTGGATTCTATTGGGTCAATGGTAGTCATATATCAAAGGGGACTGAGTGAAGATCAACCTTGTGAGATCACTGATGGATATCATTGCAAGTAAATCGTGATAGGAGATTATGAATAATCAGATTCTATTGGGTCAATGAATATGATATCCATTCTGGATCACTAAATGTATTATTGGATGTTAGTCACTGCCAGTTTCCCGTGCGATTGTAATAAGATTGGTTATAGTGGATTAAGTCCTTGAGTTCAAGTCGAAATCACCTTGGAAGGGTGGACTCAACTAGCTTGGGGGTTTATCAAGTGAACCGGGATATATCGCGTGTTATTTACTTTTTCTTATGCTTTAGAGTTTATGTTTTCTTAATTAAATTAGAATCATTACTTAGAAGTAACACTCATAAGCATTGTTCAACGAATAATGCTTAGAAGCAAACGTTATCCAAGAAAGGAAAACTCAATTCAAACCCCCATTTCTTGCGTTTTCTTCACACCTTCAGGCCCAATCGTCTATGTCATACCCATTTTTCTTCATTAACAGACATGAAACATTTAACATTTTGTTCTTTAAGATCAGAAAGTCTAATCTTATAGATGTTTTTCTTCCTCTTGCCATTGAAAAGAATAGAGTCGCCCTTCAGACTAATAGTTTACATGGATTTTGATTAAAGATAATATCATAACCATTATCACTTAATTGACTTATGGATAATTGAATATGAATTAATCCATAAAATAGTCAAACATTAGTAATAGAAGGGACATTACCATTACCTACTTCTCTAGAGCCTACGATCTTCCCTTTCTGATAACCTCCGAAACTCACTAAGCCATCGGGCTTAAGTTCCAGGCTTTGGAACATATGCCTTCATTCTATCATGTGTCACAAGCACCCAGAGTTCAAGTACCATGACCGGTGTTTTAACTTGGCTGCAAAGGAGATCTGCAACATAGATTATCTTATCCTTAGGTAACCACATTCTTCTAGGTCCTTTCTTGTCAGTACTCCCATAGTTCTTAACAAACTTAGATTTCTGAGTAGGATAATCATATTTATATGAATAGTGAAAACAACGAGGTGTAGCTTTTGGTTTTGTCTTAGGTTTTGAAATAAGTTTTTCTTTAGGCACATAATCAACATGTACAAAATGGGACTTCATTGGAATCATAACCAATTCCTCTTATTCCATTTTCGCTGATACCGTACATCATTGAAGCCATTATGCTTCTATCTAGATTCTACTAAGGAATTTCTGGAAAAATTTGTCATACTTCTTTATGACATCATTAGAACTCACATAAGCTTTAGAAATAATTTCTTCCTCAAGTTTAGAACTCTTGCTTTTAAGGGCAGAGTTGTCATTCTTAAGAATAAAAGATTCTTCATTTAAAATGGAGAATTCTTTCTTAAGCTTGTTGTGTGCTTCAGATTAAGATACATGGACTTGTTCCAGATCCTTGTATTTGTTCTAAAGCTCCTGATATTTTTCCAGAATCTCACACAAATAAAATTGTAGTTCAAAACAGAGGAGTTTAGAAAATACTTCTTCAGAATCTAATTCAGATTCTAATTCTAGCTTTGGCCGAGTATTCTCATCAGAAGCTTTGTTCAGAACCTTTACTCCTGCAACAAGAGTCTGAAACCCTGAGAACATATTCTCAACAATTTCATCATCTTCCATCTTGAATGCTTCATACTTTTGTATCAAGGAAAACACCTTGGTTTCTTTTACTTGATCATTTTCTTCATGTGTAATTTTCAATGAATCAAATATAGACTTCGTTGTGTATCTGTTTGTAATCTTCTCATACTCAGTATAAGAAATAGCATTCAACAGAATGGTTCTAGCTTTGTTATGATTCTTGTAATCTTTCTTATGTTGCTTAGTCATCACACTTCTTTCTATCTTGTTACCACTAGCATCAACATGATGTTCGTAGCCATCAACTACCATATCCCATAGAATTACACCGTGACCAAGAAAGAATATTTCTATTATGTCTTTCCAGTAGTCAAACCTTTCTCCATCAAAGACTGGAGGTTTGGCATTATAGTTATCTCTTTCATTCGCAACAGGTGAAACAGGTGGAATGATTCCCGCCATTGGGTTTCAACAAAAAAATATGGATCTTTATCTAACATGGTGAAATCTTTGATAAACAATCAATACCAGAACCGAAGCTCTGATGTCAATTGAAGGTATAGGAAACACAAGAAAAATGGGGTTTAAATTGGGTTTCTAGATTTGAAATTTCTTCTACCCAACACAATCAAAGATGAAACAAGAACAAAAATAAATGAACACAATTATTTTTATCCTGGTTCACTATTAACGAAGTTAATCCAACCCACCCGCTAAGGTGATTTTACCTTTCTCAACAAGGACTTAATCAACTATAACTAAACTGATTACAATTACAAAGACTAACCCTCAATGTCTTCTTGAGAAATTCTGACTATACCCTAGTCTCTCAAAGAACAATAAACTCAAAGTTGAGTCACAAAAGGTGTGTTTTCAAGATGCTTCTAAGATAACAGATTACACAAGTTGAAATACAAAGATAAACACGAAAGTGTTTCTAGCAAGTATATGAACAAAAGTTCCTTGCTTTACATCTCTTTACACAAAGATAAAATACTTACGTTTAAGAGTTCACGTGAAAAATTCTTACGGCAACAATTGTTTTCCATTCTTCCAAGTCTACTATATATAGCCAAAGCAATAGCCAAAGAACAATAGACAATATTGTACCATAATGTAGTCACTGTGCTATAAAATCAGAGTAGTGAGAGAAATATTTGGTCTTGTACCTTGTACTATTCACTCACGTAAAACCTTTTTGATTTTATCTTCTAATCTTCAGAGGTTTCATAATGTATGTTGATGAAACATGCTTAGAAGGATCAAAATCAGAATGAGAGTCTTTAGAACCTTGTCTTCAGAGTCTTCAGAACTTCTTCAGCAGAACCTTGTCTCCAGAGTCTTCAAAACATGGTTTTTAGAACCTCAAAACCTAAAAGCGCATAATCTTTAGAGCTTGAAAAGTCTTCAGAAGCTCTTCCATCAGAGTCATAGTCAGAAGCTTTTGATGAACGTTCTTCAGAACCTTTATTTATAAGCACTCCATAACTTGACAATTTCTTTGTAACGTGTACTTTATATCTTTCCAGAGTCGGAGTGTGTTGATTCTTGAAACGGATAACGTCGCAAGCCATTATATCAGAGTCTGAACCTGTTAGCAAAAGGTACACACAAGACAAAACCATTAGGGTACAAAATTATTCTCTAACAAACAATGTATTGTTATCATCAAAACTAAAGGGCAAGTGCATAACCAAATCTTATTCTTACACTCGATTTGAACCTGTTATATGGAGTTGCTTGGAGTTTAATTGGTCTCCATTATCGCCTTCTTCTGTTCTAAAGGGCTTTCACTCAAGCATTGTTTTGTATTATGAATGAAATAAAACAAAAAAATGATATCTTTTAATTAATGAGAAACACTTTCTTACCACGATTGACAAAAACAATCGTAGTGAAATCTTATACATGTAGGCACAGTTTCTCTTTCCAACCATAGTGAAACCATATAGGGATATATCTATAAAAGCACAACTAGCGCGTCATTCACCTTTTTACTGAACCTAACTTATTTCTCCTTAAAATTCATATTCCATTCTTCAAAAATTAATAAAGTATATTGAAAAACTTAGTTTAAAGATTAATGTTAAGTTTCATTTTATTAGGTAAACGATATGCTTGAAGCTTAACATTGATCTTTAATGCTAACATTTTCAAGATCACAAAGATGAACGAAGATGTTGCACACAAAGCGTTAATGAGATTGTAAAAACAGTGATTGTCCGTAAAATCTAAACTTTTGTAGATTGTGAAAACAACTCCTTGATATTGTAAAAAGAACGTCACATTTCACCATGGTATGAATAAATAACTGTGGTGAAATTTTTTTAATTTTAATATATATATATATATATATATATATATATATATATATATATATATATATATATATATATATATATATATATATATATATATATATATATATATATATATATATATATATATATATATATATATATATATATATATATATATATATATATATATATATATATATATATATATATATATATATATATATATATATATATATATATATATATATATATATATAAATTAAGGGGACACACCATTTTTATAAAGAAAAAATAAAAAATTATCAGTGTTGGAATTTGAATTCGAAACGTGTAATTCTTAATCTACATCACTATTGTTAATCAAGACCATGATGAAATGTTTTTTAATAAAAAAAAAACAAAGACATCTAAATATATAGTATAAGCTATTATTTCGATTGATTAAGTCATTGAAATAATGTTTCATAATAATGATTTGACAATAATTTTTTTAATATTTATATAAGAGAGATAACATAATTATTAATATATTTTGAATTAAATTGTGATCCACTAAAATTATTAAATAATTAATGTAGAGATAATTAGAGAATACAAGTATTAAATGCACTTAAAATTGTTGACTTTTGTTTATAAAGACTTTTATTTATAAATAAGGGTAGAGAAAAATATATGACATAGTGTTAAATCTCTTAAACAGAAGTTAGTAAAGTTTATTATGATTTAAAGAATTAGTAGTCTTTACCGCTACGTATAGATACAAGAAAAGTATATGACATGTTAATTAGTAATAACATTTCCAAACATAAGAAAATTTGTGACAAATTAGTAATAACATTTCCAAAGATAAGAAAATTTGTGATAAATTAGTATGTAGTGCTACTTGTAGCCACACATTCGTTTTGAGTTTCAATGGCGAAAGAGCTTCCCAAAGTGCTTGTTCTTGGTCCACCAATCTGCTTCTCAACTTTCGAATCACTTTACTCTCACAAGTTCAATTTAATTAACCCCAAACCCTCTGGACTTCCCTTGCAACAGTTCATGGTTGCCAACCGCCACAACCCGTCAACAATTTCTGCAATACTCTGTGGCGCCCCATATCCCATTTCCCTCGACGTCCTCAGTCTCCTCCCGTCGCTCCGTCTCATTGTCACCGCTAGTGCTGGAACTGACCACATTGACCTGCACGAGTGCCATCGTCGAGGAATTCATGTTGCCGGAGCTGGAGGGCTTTTCTCGGAAGATGTGGCTGATATGGCCGTGGCGTTGCTCATTGATGTAATGAGAAAAATAACTGCAGCTGATAGATATTTGAGAACGCGGACAAACCTTTCTGACCCTTGGGATTTTCCCCTTGGCCACCAGGTTCGTATTTTACTTAGCATTATATGTATGAACAAGCAAGATTATTTAAAACCGTGTGTTTGTTTTAGTTATCAGGCAAGCGGGTAGGCATTGTTGGATTGGGAAATATTGGCATGGAAGTGGCAAAGCGATTAGAGTCATTTAACTGCACTATCATGTATCACTCAAAACATATAAAACCATCCATTTCTTACCCTTTCTATTCCAATATTGTTGATCTTGCAACTTCTAGCGACACACTTGTGGTATGTTGCGCACTAAATGACCAAACAAGACACATTGTGAACAAACAAGTCATGTTGGCATTGGGAAAAGGAGGAATCATAGTGAATGTTGGAAGAGGTGGTCTCATTGATGAAAAGGAATTGTTAAGGTGTTTGATTGAAGGTGAGATTGGAGGTGCTGGTTTGGATGTGTTTGAGAATGAACCTCATGTTCCTAAACAGTTCTTTTCATTGGATAATGTTGTTCTGTCGCCACATGCAGCTGTTTTTACTTTGGAAACTACATTGAAATTGTGTGAACTTGTGGCAGAGAATTTAAAAGCTTTCTTCTTGAATAAGCCCTTAATTACTCCAGTGATGTTGGGTTAGTAACTCATTCTCTCATGGGATTGGGATTGGGATTGGGATTGGGATTGTATGATTTAAAGAATGATAATATATCAGATATGAAGTTTATGTATTCAAAGGTTCTACTTTGTTTTTCATTTTGTTTCAATTATATTTTGTTACAAAAATGTACAATTGTTATGGTTAAATTCTTCTTGGAGATGCAATAGTCTTATAGAATAAGATGATTGATAGTCTATTTTGATAGATTCAAATATATACTAGAAGACTTGAGAAATTACAACAAATATTGAGTTTTAATGGTTGTATATGTGATGAATAAGAGTTTAAGAGTTTGGTCCTTAGAGATTTTAAAAAATATATATTTTTAAATAAATAATTTAGAGATTATTCTTTAGCCATTGAAAAATTATTAATCTTTTTTCATCAATTTTTTTTACTTGTAAAAGTTCTCCAGGAGGCAACACGGAGTTCATTAAAGGTGGGCGAATGTCACGAATCGCCCTAAAAGGTAACCTAGTCGTCCATTGGAGGCAACATTCGCCTTTTGAGGTTAACACTCGCTCATTGATTGTAACATTAACACATTGGTCTTAGCATTCGCCCTTTGTTGGGCTTGGGTACAAACCACCTATTGCCCACTAATGAAACATGGAGATCCACATGTTTTTGGACACTAACTATATAGATGCCTAGTCAAAGGAAAAAGTGATATTCTCATGGAGAATAGAGGAAAATAAAAGGCTCACGCTCCTAATAGGTGCAAAATAACCACCCATTAGATCCAAGGATTAAGACCCAACAAACCTCTATAAACACCCCAACCACGGAGTTATGGGGGAGATTCAATTTACTCAAAAACACATAAATACAAAGCTTTTCACCATATATATATTAGCTTGCTATAGCACCAATAACAACCTTAAAACCCTCAGACATCCCTATACAATTAAGAGTTGTCATTCATTCTACTTTTAACAACTACAATTGACGTCTACCATGGGGCTTTAATAAAACTGACATGGGCCGCCATCGCATCAGACGGTCTGGTGGCTTTCCTCATCTTTATCTCATCCATCAAATATGGTTAACGAGCGGGTAGTAACTCTGACCAATAGTAGTTCTAGAGGCGAAGAAGACACCACGAAAATACGTGTTGCCGTGAACAACTTACATCGCCAAAGTTAGACTTTGGAGGACAACATCCTTCAAATCCAACAACTCTATGCTATAACAAGTTTGGTTCTACATCTACTATCCTTAAGTTTTGATGATAACAAAGTATACAAAAAAAATTTCTATACTAATTATTTCATTAAGTGTGTAGAATCTTAAAGCAACAAAAATAGACTCTGATTGAAGCAAACTTTGATCAAAGCAAATTTTGAAGTCTGAACAAAGCAGACTCTAAAGAAAGTAGAATCTAAATATGGACAAAGCTAGACAAAGAGACTCTGGACTCTAAAAAATTAAAATTAAAATACGAAGAAGTGTGCATCTGATAGTCAATTGTAGCGGTAGAAATGTTCAAGACTAAGCCATTGGATTGACTAGACTTTATACAAATCAAAATAAAAATCGCCACCGCGTTTTATTGTTTCCAAAGGAATTGGAAAAGAGCGAATAACCCAAAAGAGGGGGAAAGATTCAAGGTAAGGGGGTTGGTTATGCAAAGGAAAGGTATTAGCACCCTAAACATCTACGGTACTCCGCAGGAACCTCTTTGAAAAATCTGTATATTTTGGCTATAAAATGTGTTGTATGTAAAATGGATGGTGGAGGTGAGAAAAGAAATATATTTTTTTATAATTTTTGCACCCGTCGCGGTTGCGTTGCGAACCTTTAGTGCCTACGTACCACCTTTCGTGCAATAGGGGATCAGGGTACACGTAGTTCCTCTTTTAAAAATTTGAAACACAAGTGTGTTGGTGGATTTTAAGAGATAAGACATCATCGTCATTGTCCGTATGGAAAACATACTTACTACCCACAATCATGAGAAAGGAGAATCTGCATCATCTCAAAGTGGAGGATATGACTTGGATTTTAAAATCAACAATGCCTCACTCAATACCCAAGTGGAAATATCTCACTTCACTATATATTGTAGAAGTATAGTTGTTTGTATCACTACAAGGATTGACAAGAGTCTAAACTTTTTGAGAAAAGTTTAAAGATAAAAGCCAAAGTGGCAAAATGATTTGAAATGAGATTGATTGATTTTTAGTCTCTTCACAAAAAGGATGTCAAAGTATTATTAAGTTTATTAGTGTTTATTTATGAAAATGATTTTGAAAATGCATGGACATAAGTCCGAGTTTATTATGAAAGTGTTTAAGTTTCAAAACAAGAAGGGTTTTCAAAAGGAGGGAGAAGATTTTTGAAATTAAAGAAGATGGGAGGAGAAGAAGAGGCTATCCTAAAGCATAAGGTAAAAGCTAAGGATAAGGACCATCTAACCAACAAGAAGCCAAAACTTAACATTATGAGCCAAGATAGAATTCCCATTCTTTGGATTGAAACCAAGCAAGAAAAGATACTAGACCTCTTCAAGTGTATTAAGTCTTCACAAAAATTGGGCAGAGTAACGGCTGTATACGGGTGAATTCCAGATTACAAACAGAGAATGTAATCACAAAAACCTGCACACAAAAACAAACAAGCAACCCAATGTCTTGAGGTAAACCTCAATAACTCCAGACAAAATAATCAGATAAGATCACAAGGTCTCCAAGATAGGCCAAGGTTTCTAATCTTAAGTCCAATAAAAAGTCCCATGCTCCATAATGCCAAGGATAGTAACCAAATAGTCCAAGTACCATTAAAGGTTTTTAGGGTTTATGTTGATTATTAAGTATCTTAAGAAAGGAAAAGAAAAGCTCAAGTGAGCAAAGTAAAAATGGCAAGAAAATAAATGCTCAAATGAGCAAAGATGAAAATGGCATGAAATGTAAATGCTAAAAAAATAAATAGTACATAAAGCATAAAAAAACAATAAAAGCATAAGATAAACAAGTCAATAATTAGTGATTAGTTGGATGACCATCTTGAAACTTATATTTGGAACTCATTAGAGGATTGGTAGAACCAAAGCCTCCACACAACATGTTGCATTTGCTTTTTGTCAAGTATATCATCCATTTGGAATTCTCACAAGTACCATTTAATGATCAACGATGTTTAAGTGATCCGCATTGACCAAAGGTGTTGTAGATCCATTATAGGATTGGTAGAACCAAACCCTCCACACAATGAATCTCAAGGTTATTGGATCAAAGAGATCAAATTAACATACTTGGACTTGCAATCATAAGTTTGGACCACAAATGATCATTTATTCGAATCGGGACAAAATTTAGCGCTATGTTAAGCAATCATAAGTGGACTTATATAGAAGTCGCACCTATTTTGAGGCCGGTCAATAGCAATCTATGCACCATTTGTTTTGAGTCATGATATATAGGTCATGCTCCAACAACATTTAGTGCAATGAGAAAGGGATGAGGTGAAGAGGATTAGGGCAAAAAGATGAATAAACCACCTTTGAATTAAAAATTTAATCAAACTATTATTAAAATCATTCATCCATTTTGATGGAGTTGAACTCAACACCTAAGATCCAATGATGTTAATAAAGTCATGATCAAAAAATCAATTCAAGACAACCAGAAAATAATCACAAAATAATATCATATTTAATATATACATTAAAAGGTTTAAAAATTTTAAAAAATAGAAAATAAGGAGGAAAATATCAATTATGTTCAAATTAATAAAGAAATGAAAAATAAGACCATAGAGAAATCAGAAAAGAGGCCAAGTAATTTTACAAAAATTTTGGTAATTTTTTAAAGTTATAAACTATTTTTAAAATTAAGATAAATGGGTAAAATAAACAAAAAAATAGTAAAAAATAGTAAAGTCAGAAACAAAAATAAAATAAAGTCACCAATATTTGTCACAATATCATTGGATCATTCCATAATTTTTCCAGAATTAAAAAATGTATAAAAGTATTTTTAAACATTTTAAACAAAACAAATAAGTGTGAAATTTATAAAAAATACCAAAATACAAAATTAAATTGTGAAAAAATAAAAATCAGGAAGAGAATAATCAAAAATATTTTTCATAATTTTTTCAGATTTTTTGGACTAAAAATGAATTTTCTATGATTTTTTGAAATTTAAAACAATTAAAATATAAAAATCAGAAAAAGAAAATAAAAGTAAATTATGTGGACCATTGGATGAGAGTCAAAACACATTAGTAATCAAATCCAAGAGATCTGGCGCGCTGTGCATATCATGGTCATTAGTGAATAATGTACAGAATCAAATATAAATCAGATTTTCAAAAATAACAAGTGGCGTGCCATCATTGGTTGGAAGATGACACGTAGGTCATCTTCAACCTCCAGCTAACGTGATTTACAGGTTTCTCAAACTGTAAAATCAGAAGCTCAGACCTATGCCAATCGCTTCGTCTCTTCAAGACAAAAACAACCACACCCTCGCGCCAAATTTATATAAATTGTAGCTCAAGCAATTTGGAAGGGAAGTTTTGAAAAGGGATTCGAAAATTCATGGTCAAAACGTATTTCTAGTGAAATGTAAGTGTTGCGACTAGAACCAGGGCAATGAAAGCAACATAATGATATCAGAGTTTTGAAGAATTGATGAAGGAATCTACCTATTGAAGTTGAGTTGCAGAGCTCTGAAACTAGACTTCTATGGAACAATATAGGGCACGATTCTTAAATGTAATTATATGGTTAGCTTCAGGGAAGATCAAGGAAGGTGAATTGAGGGAAAATTTTGATTGAAAAAGGCTTGAAAATGGATTTCGAAGTTGCTGAATTCTGGGTTGTGAAATAAGTTTGGCAGGGTGATTCTGGCTATCTAAGCTTGGGAAAATGGATGGGGGATGACCCTCTATTTATAGGGAAGCAAATGGGATCAAGAGAAAGACCAAATGATGCGTTTTGGAGGGAATTCGTGTGGGTCTGCATCATGAAGAAA